CGGCGCCTCTCTGGCGGCAAGCTCGCCATGAGCTCGGCATAGACACTCGCCTCGCCTCCTGATACCCCCCGCACAACCCTTCTCCCGCAGCGGTGACGATATGGTGTTACGACGACAATGTGGCCGTCGTCGCACGTTCGTCCCGCCCGCACCTTTGTCTTCTTTCCGAGTCCTCGCTATTGTTTTTTCCCGGTCTTATCGCTCTCCTCCCCCCAACCCCACGCACCCGCACACGACCTGACCTGCAAATCGCAAAAGAGAATCCGAAGCCCATCTCGCCATCCTCCCCCGCCCGCCCGCCAGCTGCGCTCCCACATCGACCCAATCCCTTCCCATCCCCCCTTGTTGAGAGCGGGAGGGGACGACGAGTCGATGGAAGGTGCCACGTTCTCACCTCTGTCGCTTGTATTTTGTAACTCCCCCCTTAGCCTGTCGCCTGTCGTCTTCACGCAACGCAATCTCGCCACCATCCATCGTCGTCGCCCACCTCGCTTCGTACCCTGCCTGTCTGGCGCTGTCGGTCGGTGTTTCCTGACTCTCGTAGTCGGGCTGGTGGGACAGATATGCGGGTAGGGGAATCCTTGCGAAAAGGTGTCTTTGGGCGTACCCCCTTCTCTTTTCCCTCCTCCCCCCTTCGGGACCGTGAACCCGGGCGTGGTTGTGTACGAGGCCCTCGACTCGAATCAGGCACAGGACCATCTCTCTTGCAACAGTCTTCTGAGATTATACGGAGAACATGAGGCAGACAGAGGCGGTATAGAACAGCAGCGTGGGTCAGGGGGAAGGAGGGGATCGGATCGAGCAGAGACGAGGAGGACCTGGCAGAGACTGTCCCACACAGAGAGTGGGACCCAACCGGAACCGGGACCGGTCCCTGGATCGCTCCAGCTCAGCTCGGCTCGGCTCCGCTCAGCTCAGCTCAGCTCAGCTCCAGGGCAGGGATTAGACTAGACCTCCTTCTTGGCCTCTTCCTTCTTCGCCGCCGCCTCGGCCTTGGCCTCTGCCTCGGCCTCCTCGCGGTCCTGCTTGATCTCCTCGATTTCCTCGTCGATGCCAATCGCCTCGTCAAAGTCCTCGACCTCGGCCGCCTGCCGCTCGATGAAGGGCTTGATGAGTCGGTCAAAGTAGGGGTGGGCCTTGAGCTGCGGGTTGTTGCGGCGCACCATGCGGAAGTACTCGCGGTAGATGTCGCCGTCGTAGCGTCCAATGGGCGAGTTGAGGACGTGGTCGGAAATGGCAAACGAGTCGACGAGCGGGATGGCAAACTGACGCGTGGCGGCACAGTACTCGGTCACCTTGGCCTGCACCACGTCGAGCTGCGACGGCGACAGCCAGCCCGAGCGCAGGAAAAAGGCCGCCTTTTCCTCCATCTGCCACAGGCCGTAGAACTTGGCCAGCAGCTCGAGCTGCTCGCGCACGCCGTCGCCCGACTTTTCGACGCGCTCGACGGCGGCGCGGAACTGGCGGAAAATGTAGCCGCTCGTGTGGACGCTGGCCGCGACAAAGCGCACCTGCGAGCAGTCCTCAAACGCCTGCTCGCGGCTCCGCCCGGCCTTGAGGCGCGACTGGTAGTCATCGGCGGCCTTCTTGACGGCGTGCGCCGCCACCGTGGCCCAGCCCCGGTCGATGCCGTCGAGCGTGTCGAGCGCCGCGTCCGAGGGGCACTTGGCCGCCAGCACCTGCTCGATGTTGTTGAGGTAGCCCGTGCCGGCGCTCAGCTTCTTGCCCTCGACGGCGTCCTGGTACTGGGCGATGAGCGAGCGGCCCGACTGCAGCGCCAGGATGTGGTTGTCGCCCTCCCACGTGCCTGTCGAGCGCGGAAGTGAGCAGTGCAGGGAGAAGAGAGAGGATGGGTCGAGGGTCAGCGTTCCGCCCTCGGTCGCGGTGCACACCTCCGTGGCAAGTGCAACGCTCAGACTCACAGTGTACGGCAAAGTCCGAGTACATGTTCGCGAAGCCGTTGTAAGACGAGTAGCCGTGGCCGCCACACGCCTGCCGCGACTTCTCAATCGTCTCGAGCGTGGCCCACGTGCAGAATGCCTTGAGGCCGGCGCTGGTGGCGTGCGTCTCCTTGAGCATCTCGATGGTAGCCTCAAGGTTCGGGTCACCGGGCTCGAGGGCCTCGAGGGCCTGGCTGGTCTCGTCAAAGAGCCTCTGCAGCTCGAGGGCGGTGAAGCCAAACGCGACCGACTGGGCCAGCAGCGGCATCAGCCTGCGCTGGTGGATGGGGTAGTCGAGGATCTGCGTCTCGAGCCCGGCCTTGGGGTCCGACTTGAACTGGCGACGCACGGCGGCGTAGCGGACCGAGATGGTGAGCGCCTTTTTGGCCGTGTTGGCGGCGTCGGCGACCATGGCGGTGCGGCCCTGGAGCAGCGCGCCGTACGTGAGCTGCTGCAGCGGCGGCTCGCGCACCTCTCCCTCGCGCGTCACCTGCGTGTGCTTCATGAGCATGTAGGCGCGCGGGATGCGGACGTTGGTGAACTGGATGTAGCCGTTGTCGATGCCGTCGCGGCCCATCTTCTTGCCAATGTCGCCAATGTTGATGCCGGGCAGCAGCTGGTACGTCTTGGGGTCGCGCAGCGGCACGACAAACGTCTTTGTGCCGTGCTTCTTGCCCTTGATGATCAGCTGGGCAAAGACGGCGCAGTGGGTCGCCGTGTGGGCGGCACCGCCGATCCACCACTTTGTGGCGCCGAGGTTGGGCGTGTGGACGACAAACTCGTCGGTCTGCTCGTCAAACGTCGACGTCGTCTCGAGGCCAGCGACGTTGCTTCCGTGGGCCAGCTCGGTCATGCCAAAGCAGCCAAACATGCCGTTGCAGCCAATGACGCCCTTTTCCATCCAGTAGGAAAACTGGTTGGGGGTTGCGCCGGAGCGGAGGGCGCCGAGGAAGAGTCCGTAGTGGACGCCGAGGCGGGTCCAGAGGCCGGGGTCGAGGAGGCTCATGAGCTCCATGCGCTTCTGGAAGTCGTCGACCGACTCGCTGGTGACGTAGTGGGCGAGCCTCTGGATGCGCTGCATGGTGCGCTCGCGGATCTGCTCCTTTGTCAAGTCGTAGATGTCTCCCGAATAGAAGATGGGGTCGCGGCTCGCCTCGAGCATGAATTTCTCTGCAGGTGGTCGCGATGTGGGGCGACGAGAGAGCCGGGGGGGACGGTCGTCAGCAAACCGGGCTACCAGGGAAAGCAGTGTCGCATGCTGGCCACTCACCCTTCTTCTCGAGGTCCTTTTCGCTGCCGTGCTGCACAATGGACATCTGTGGGCAGGGAGTTCGTGGAGGCGAGGAAGAGGGCAGCAGTGGAAGAGTCAGCGCCGTGCGGCTCTCGGTGGGCGGCTGGATGGAAACAAGGGAGGAAAGCGGATGCTCACCTTGCGAATGTCGAAGGCGGGGTTCTCGCGCTCCTTTGCGAGCGTCTTGATGGTGAGGTCATCGGACCAGCTCGAGGTCGACGACGACGACATGATGGCGAGTCTACGTCTTGGTGCGGTGCAGGGTAGAGCGTGGTGCGATGAAGGGCGTCGTTGCCAGTATGGAGCGTGGGGTTATCCTCGTGCCAGCTATGCTTTGTTGCTGCTGATGAGGGTGCGGGTGTGCTCTACTTGTCCAGCAGTGGTGAGCAACTTGGGATGGTAGGTGGTGGTGGTGGTGGAAGGAGGATGAGACAAGAGAAGCGCGGCCAGGTGGATGCGGAGGTCAACTACAGCCGGGCGAGGGTTAAGTCGTCGTTGGTCGAATGCGGGGCACGGCGGGCGGGCGGGCGGCGTGGTTCGGCGGCGGGGGCGGAGCTGCTGAAAGCCCGCCCAAGAGGGCCCCCCGGCGCTGCCTGGCTGGACAAAAGTGTCAGCTGAAAATGGCCTGCCTGCCTCGGTGTGGAGTCGCGGGCGCGCGCCCAATTGGCCCTATGCAGGCATACCGGCCTCCTCTAAGCAGGGCAGGCCTACCAGCTCCGCCTGGCTTGGGTCGCGCGTCTCGCCGTGGGCAGGCCTGGCGGCAGAGACGAGCAAGCAAAGCAAGCAGCAAAGGCCTCGGTCGCATCCGATCAGCCGGCCTGGCGGGCTGGTGTTGCCTGGTGGCCCCCCTCGTTGCCTTTTCACGGACCCGCCGCGCCATCCTGACGTCCCGCTGCCTCGAGGCGACAGAAGGCGATGATCTAAGCGACGCCCCCGGCCCTGCTGGCTCGCTTGATGACCCAGGCTGGCTGGGCCAACCTGAAGGATCCTCGCCCAAGCCTCGCATGGCTTGGCTCAGCCCCGCCAACGCTATCCTCCCGACCGCCCCGCACTGGCCCTCGTGTTCGAGGGGCCTTTCACGCACGCACGCACGCACGAACGAGGATGCTCTTGCCGGGCCAAGGCCAGGGTCCTGCTTTGCCTTGATATCCATCACGACCCCGACCGCAGCTGCCGTCTGACCCAAGCCACATCACGGATAGAGTCAAACGGTTGGCCAAGCTGGCGTCGCCGGATAACGAGCTGATCTGTTGTCGCAAGGAGGAACCATCTGGCATGGCAGGCCTCGGTGCCGACACGTCGCGCAAGAGTGGCAGGCCCAGACAGACGGACCGAAGACGGCCTCAGACGGGCAAGCGGGGATCCAGAGGCGAGGCGACGGCTTCGATCCGGCACCTTGAGTTTGCCGTCAAGGGCGAGCGTGATGCCCGAAACCCGGGACCCCGCCTTTCGGAGCCGACCAGGGGCCGATCCGTAATTCCGGATCGGTGTCAAAAAGCCCGATTTGGAAAGACGGATGCAGATCGAAATGTTGCATCGGAGGGCACGGCCGACCATGTCCGAGAGGCGTCGACGTGCGGGGTCAGGCTCGGCGACTGGACCCAACTCCGCCGGTACGCACCGTCCGTATGCGATGCGAGGGCCGTCGACCGAGCCCACAAGCCAGAGCACGACGATGGACCGCCGTGGATGGGCTTGAGACGGTAGGAGGTGGCTTCAGCGTGCGTCGACCTCGATGGCGCACCGTGTCGCGGCAGGCATCGAGGGATGGTGAAGCGCGCGACCTGGCCTGGCCTGGACTGGCAAGCCTGGTTTGACGGAAGCGGCCCGGCGAAAGCGGCGAGAAGATTCCGTCGGGCCAGCATGTTGCGTCCGGGGGCCAATTGTGGCCATCGCATGGGGAGGCCGGCAGGGGTCGAGGTGCCGACAGGCCAGCCAGCCAGCAGCGCGGGGCGTTGCTACAGTCTATGGCAGAGCCGGGCAGCATGCCGACGTCGGCGTCGGATCGGCATCCCGCCGCGCTCTCCCCTCTGTCGCCCGCGCCGATGTGGGGTTGTGGATGCGGCCGGGGGATTCGGTATCTCCGGCGTCTTTGGTGGAGTTTCTCTCTCTCTGGCTGGCGAGGCCCTCAGGCCAGGCTGACCAGCAGGCTCCCTGCCTGCTGCCGACCTTGCAGCGGCTGTGGGCGCGCCGAAGTGGTCGCTGCTTTGGTGGTCGCTGTTTTGTGCGGCCAATTGGAGGGTCCAAACTTTTTTTTTCCCGGCGCCAGGGGGTGGGGGGGGCTCAGTCGATCCGCGTTTCTTCGCTTCAAGCGGCCAGCCGGGGAGGGGGGGACCATTTGGCGCGGGGCCAGGCTCAGGCTGACCAAACCTCGGCCTGGTCCGTAGCTCGTCTGGCAAGCCCACGGCATGGCCTGGCCTGCCTCGCCCCTTTGTATATGGTGACTCCCCGGGTGGTTCTCCCGCATCGGATCGCTGCCGCCATCACCACCACCACCAACACCATCACCATCATCGCTGCCATCGTCTCATCTCGTCTCGGTGTCCTCTCCCCTTCATTCGACTCGGCGCGAGTGCGCCACCCTTCAGCACGCCCAATTCCAAAAAATCGACGCCGCCCCACGCCCCGCCCGCGCCCACCAAACGAGGCTCGTCAAGCACCCCACATCCCCATTGCCCCTCAAACGACGCACCCGCCCACGCACCTCTAGACGACCAACCAGGCCGCTCCGAACCCGTCCGCGCCCATCGCCACGACATGACATTCGCATCATCCGCCGCGCCACCGCAGCACCAACAGCACAACCACACCGGCACCGGCACCGGCACCGGCACCGATGACGACCCGCCCGCCATCGAGGTCGCCGCCGGCACCTCGGAATTCACCCCTGTCCGCCCTGCCGACACGCCTCAGCATGCCACGATTGCCTCAACGCCACGCTCTATAGATGGCAGCACTGGCTCCGACGACGACGACGGCCCCAAAGACATCGAAAAGCGATCCCACCACGATGGAAAGCTCACACCAACATCCTTGGCCGGCGTTCCGCCCGCCACATCGACCACCAGCCCAGGCGCCGCGCCCGGCGACGGCACAAAGAAGCCGCACTGGCTCCAGCAGGACGAGGTGCTGCTGCCAAAGAACAACATGTTCCTCGTCATGCCCGCCCTCATGCTCGTCGTCTTCCTCGCAGCCCTCGACCAGACCATCGTATCGACCGCCCTCCCCGCCATCTCTGAACGCCTCCACGGCTCCGCAGGCGCCTACTCGTGGGTCGGCAGCGCCTACCTCCTCTGCTCCACCGCCATGATCCCCCTCTACGGCCGCCTCTCGGACCTCACCGGTCGCAAGCCCCTCCTATTCGGCGCCATCTTTGTCTTCCTCGCCGGCTCCGCCATCTGCGGCGCCGCCCAGTCCATGATCATGCTCTGCATCGCGCGCGGCGTCCAGGGCGTCGGCGGCGGCGGCATCATATCGCTCTCCAACATCATCATCGGCGACATTGTCAGCCTCGAGGACCGCGGCAAATACAGCGGCTGGATCGGCGCCGTCTGGGGCATCGCCTCGGTCATCGGGCCCCTCCTCGGCGGCGCCTTCACCGTCGCAGCGGCCGGCGGCTGGCGTTGGTGTTTCTTTGTCAATTTGCCCATCGGCGGCATCGCCTTTGCGCTCCTCTTCTTCTCGTTGCACCTCAACCCGCGCCCCAAGAAGTCGGTGCGCCAGATGTGCGGCGAGTTTGACTTTGTCGGCCTGCTCTCGGTCATCACGGGCGTCGTCCTGATCCTCGTCGGCTTCAACTCTGCCGAGACCAAGGGCTGGGGCGAGGCCGAGACGATTGCGCTGCTCGTCGTCGGCTTCGTCGTCCTGCTCCTCTTTATGGCCTGGGAGTTCCGCACCACGCGCAAGCCCATCGTGCCCCCGCGCCTGGTCAAGACGCGCACCACGGGCCTCATCCTCGTCTCGGTCGCCCTCCACTCGCTGCCCTTTTTCGGCGCGACCTACTACCTGCCCGTCTACTTCCAAGCAGTGTTTGGCGCATCGGCCCTCATGTCGGGCATCTACATGCTGCCCTTTTCCCTCGTCAGCTCCCTCATGTCGAGCGTGACGGGCATCGTCATTACGCGCACGCGCTCCTACCGGCCGGCGCTCTGGTTCGGCTGGACGGTCATGGTCATCGGCTACGGCCTCATGACGACGCTCGACGCCCAGTCGTCGCAGGTGCGCCAGGAGATTTTTTATCGGCATCGCCGGTCTCGGGCTCGGGTGCCTCTTCCAGACGCCCCTGGTGGGTCTGATGGCGGCCATGCCGCACGGCGACATGTCGACGACGACGGCGGCCATGCAGCTCATCCGCAGCCTGTCCGGTACGATGGGCATCGCGATTTCGGGCGCGCTCTTCAACTCGGAAGCCCAGAAGCGGCTCGAGCGGATCCCGGACTTTGATCCGCGCAGCATCCTCTCGGAGAGCGGCGCGCAGGACCTCACGGGGCTGGTCAAGATCCAGCCTCCCGAGCTGAGCCGACAGGTCATCGACGCCTACGCCAAGGGCCTCCAGGTCGTCTGGATCCTCTTTGCCCCCCTTGCCGGTGCTGGCTTGCTTGCCGTTCTGGGTGTCAAGGGATACTCGCTACGTCGTAACATTAAGCGCGGCGAGGAGGAGGCCAAGGTGCCGGCCGAGGGCGAGGGCGAGGGGGAGAAGGTGCATGATCCTGAAGCTGGTCTGCGCCACGACGGGGCAGATGCCAAGGACGAGGACGAGGGCGAGCCTACTTCGCCTGTCACTCCCACAGCGCCGGCAGCGCCGGCAGCGGTAGCGGCACCAAAGTCTACCGATGCTGTCGATCGGTGAGAGTCTCTTTTGCTCGTCGTGCCCCCCCCTCTTTTTGGTCTATCCCCACCCGCCAGACAGATATCGATATAGCGCCATTTGTCACGACGATAGATGTATGTATGGACGTACTCGCATGCCTTTGCCATGTGGCCCGTAACGGTAACGAGGACGGTATCTCGTCACGAACTACCTAGGTGCTCTGGAGTGTGGGTGTGTGTGTGTGTGTTTGCTGCGTGTGGACGGGAAGCTTGTTATCGCTTCTTCGCGTCCACCGCGAGGGTCGACGACGTGCAGTCCCGGTGCATCGGTGAACGGAGCGGAGCGGAACGGAGTGGGCATGTATTGTTGTTACAGGAGCGGAGCAAGGGCAAGGATAAGCGGGTAAAGCGGAACAGGACACGTCGCCGAGGGATCGTCGGTCGCGGATCGTAATGGGGTATGTATCTTCTCTGAACTCGCGGGCCCAGCTAGGGCTGGTCGGCGTCGCTGTCGTCATCGTCTCCGTCCTCCTCCTCCTCCTCGCCGTCGCCGCTCGAAAACCATTTCGGGGTGACCCTGATGCCGAGCTGCTTGCACACCCGTCGTCCCTCTGCGACCCAGTATTCTGGGTGACCTTTCGCCTTGGCCCGCTTGGCCAGCTGCTTGGCCTTCTTGGCGCGCGGACCGCCATAGCCCGCCAGCCCGCCGCACCGGATGAAGGCCGACACGTCCCTCTGCCACCGCAGCTGCTCGAGCGCCCCAATCGTCTGGAGAAGCACGTCGTCGAGCTGCTGCAGCTTCACTCGGCCGTCGCCCGCCCCTGCCTTGGCCTTGCCCTTACCCGTCCCGGTCGACTGGGCCGGCTTGCCGCGCCCGTCTTCGATCGAGAGGTCCGTGCCGTATCCATCCTGGCCCTCTCCGGCCTCTGCGGCGCCAACGGGTTGAGCGGCCGCGCTGGTGTCCTGCTCCGCGTCCGCGGACAGCTTGCGGGTGCGCCGCTCGGTCGTCTGCTGGATCCACCGTTCCATGAGCCTCGCCGCGTCCTTGTCAAACTCGGGAATGAGGATATGGTTGAAGGGCTGCATCCGCGCCTTGTCGGTGCTGTCGTCGAGCAGCAGCGTGTTGTGCTGCCCCCACGGTCCCAGTTTGGCTGCAGCGAGCGCGGCCTCCAACGCGGCAGACACTGTCTCCTCGGCCGTGGCGCTGGAGCCGTCGCCATCGCCATCGCCGTCGCCGTCGCCGTCGGCTGCGCGCACGCGCTCCTGGGCCTCGTCCTTCTGGTCGGCCAGGCTCAGCTCGGCGAGGTCCGGCCGCTCGCGGTTCTGCGCATCCCTCTGGTCGGCCAGCAGCCTCCCCGGGCTGGCCAGCCCATGCGCGCGGGCGTTGAGCTCGATCCATACAATCTCGAGGTCCTTGACGCTCTCGACCTTGTGCCCGAAAAACTTGCTGATGACGAGCGTGTCTCGCGCCCACACACGCAGCAGCCGCTGGCGTTGCGCCTCGCTGAACGAGGCCCGCACCATGCTGTCGACGTTGACCGGCCTCGCCGACGACCAGACCAGCAGCTCGTACCTTCCCAATGACCCCGGCGCTTCCTCCTGTGCCGACGGCCAGAAGTGAGCCCCGTGCGGAAGATTGGAGGGCGTGGCAGCAGCGTCGTCGGTGCTGCTGGGCGGAGGGGTGGTCCGCGCCGGCTTGGCGTCGGCAGCGATACCGAGGCAGTACTGCAGGAAGCAGTCGAGGTAGGGGCGCGGCGTGGGTGCGGCCGAGCTGATGCTCATCGACCCTTTGTTCTTGGCGCGGTACACGAGCGTACCGTTGAGGTCGAGGATGAGGAGCTTCTTGGGCGGCTCGCCCTTGTCGCGCGGAAGCTCCTCGGGCTGCTGCTCGGCCTGCTGGATGTACGTGCTGCGCGGCTGGTTTCGGGTCGCCGGGACAGTCGGGCCGGCTTGCCTTGACGCCGCATCCTTGGCGTAGGTCGAGTAGTGAGCGGCGTTGGCGTGGTCGTTGGCTGGTGCGTGGCCGTGCATGGCCGCGGAGCGAGGCTGGCGAGGCGGTGAAGAGCGCCAGGAAAGGTGGCTGGATCGGGTGCGGTCCTGGCTGGGTCCCGGGGGTGAGCTGCCGCGGCCATCGTGGTGCCATGCTGGGGCGTGCTTATATGCCTGCTGCCTGGCGTAGGGCGCGTCATGCCGGGACGGCCAAGAGTGATGGGACGAGGCGTCGTGAGGAAGGTGTCCTGGCTGGTCGTGACCATGGGCGTAGGCGAGACCGGCCGCGTGGTTGCGGTAGCCGTCGCCGTAGTGTTGCGGACCGGCGAAGTAGAGCGCGCCCCAGCCGAGTGGTGCTGCTGGACTGTGAGATGGTGCGGCCCACTGGGAGGCTTGCCGTGCGTAGCCGTATCCGTGGCCGTTGGCGTAGCCATAGGCGCCGGGGGCTTGCGGCTGGCCGTAGCCGTAGGCGTAGCCGTCGAAGTGGGGCTGCGCGTTTGGCTGTGCTTGGTATCCTGAATTTCGGGCGTAGTCGGAGGAAGATGAAGGCTGCCATGCGGCATTGGCGTAGCCGTCGCTGTAGCCTGCATGGTTATGATGAGGCGGGCGGTATGGCTCGGTGCCGTAGCGGTAGTGGTAGGCGTCTGCGGATCTGCCTTTTCCTTTTGGGCGCCAGTCCATCGTTCTGGAGGCCGGCTGGCTGGGTATGCGGTGCGACGAGGGTGGACGAGGCGCAGTAGCGGTGCGCAGTGATGTGTGAGGAGCGAGCGGCGGGGAGCGTCGTAGAATGGCCACGACACCCACGCCGGTCTGCATCGAGGTGGGGCGAGCCAGGATGAGGATGAAAGGAGCGGTGATGCAAGAAGGAGGCAGCCTGGATGGGGCGGTCCAAAAAGGCACGCAGGCCGTGGGTAGAAGGGGGATCGATTGATAGGTATGGCCGTGTTCGTCGTCGTCGTCGTCGTCGTTGGCGTCGAGATGGAAGCGTCCGACGCGACACGCCTCGGAATTGAGCTCGAAAAACCAAGGCAAAAAGGTTGCAAGGCTGCCAGGCCACGCCAGACCAGGCTCCACATGGGCCCCGCCCCGCCAGCTCTGGGTCGGCCCCCGAGGCGTTCTCGTCCGATAAAAGGGGTGAGGGAATAGCGAGGCCTGCCCAGGCCAAGTCGGAGCACCGGTCCGGTGGCCGCGCCCAAACCAACAAGCAGGTGGCCCAGGCTCGCCTTGCTTGCTACACGTCCCCAAGCTTTCCACCTAGCCTCTGTCTGGCCTCGTCTCGAGACGGCGTGGGCGCACCCCTCAGCCCGCGGGAAGCCAAAGCAACAGCCCCATCGACATACATAAACAGTAGGCCAACCTCCTTCTCCGCCTCGGTCCTGCTAGCCATCGTCCATCACCCTCGCCCCGCCGTCATCGCCATCTAACTGCCCCCTCTCACTCGCCGCCCCTTTCCACCCCCACAGCCAGCCAGCCATGTCGACCTCGGACCTGGCCTGCGAAAAGACGCCCTCGGTGGCCTCGCCCGCCCTCTTTTCGCTCAAGGGCAAGTCGGCCCTCGTCACCGGTGGCACCCGCGGCATCGGACAGGCCTGCGCCATCGCTCTCGTACAGGCGGGCGCCTCCGTCTGCCTCGCCGTCCGACCGGGTCACCAGTCTTCCTCGACCCACCCGGCGCTCCAGGTCCTCCTCGACCTCACCGGCCAGTCGTCCGACCAGAAGCACACCACCGTCGACGCCGACCTCTCCAACATGGCAGACGTCAAGACCGTCTTTGACCGTGCGCTCCAGGTCGCCCCCCAGGGCAAGATCGACATCCTGGTCAACTGCGGCGGCATCCAGAGGAGGCACCCCTCGACCGACTTTCCCGAAGAAGACTGGGACGAGGTGAGTCGACAGCGCCGGCGCAGCCTCGGCGTGTCGACAGCAGACGTGGCGCTGACTACCGACCCGATTTCCCCCTTGTCGTCTGCCAACCGACCAGGTCATCAACGTCAATCTCAAGTCGGTCTGGCTGCTGTCGCAGGCGGCAGGACGCCACATGGTCGAGCGGAGGTCGGGCAAGATTATCAACTTTGGAAGCCTGCTCACCTTCCAGGGAGGCCTCACGGTGGGTGTTTAGTGGGCCTGTCGCGTGTGTCTCTGGAAGCGCGCCGTTTTGTCGCTGACACCTCGCTCCGCCTGCCCTCTGCCCACCTTGTCTGTCGATCGTCCTGCTGCCCTAGGTGCCGGCGTACGCGTCTGCCAAGGGAGCAGTGGGCCAGCTGACCAAGGCGCTGTCCAACGAGTGGGCCAAGCACAATGTGCAGGTCAACGGCATCGCGCCGGGCTACATTGCAACCGACATGAACGAAAAGCTGCTGGCGGACCCGACGCGGCTGCGCCAGATCAGCGAGCGGATCCCAGCGGGGCGGTGGGGCGATCCGGTCGACTTTGCCGGCCCGCTGCTGTTCCTGGCCAGCTCGGCGAGTCAGTATGTGAGCGGCGAGATGCTCGTCGTCGACGGCGGCTGGATGGGCCGCTGAGCAGCCGTCGACGGCGGGCGCCGATAGACGTACCGGTATGCTGGCCCCTCGGCATGATCGAGTGGGTGTATCGAATGCTAGAAAGCGAGGGTCCTGGCCCGTCGAAGGAGACGCAGAGTGCGGCGACTGAGCCGAGTGCATGGCTTGAAGGAGTGCTTGGGCCTGGCTGATGGACGACGATGACGACGGCGGCGGCGGCGAGGGCAGCCGGGCGTGCCGAAGAGATGCCGAAGAGGCTAGGGACGAGGCGATGGCGTGGGCAGGCCTGGCCTGGCCTGCCTGGCAGCACGTGTGAAATGGCGTCTGAGCAGAGGGCGGCAGAGTGACGCCAAGGGGCAGTCAAAGGCAGGCGTGGGGGAGAGGGCAAGGGGGGAGAGGGGCGGCCAAGATGCAGAGGCGAGGCGAGGGCAGACGTACAGATAGATCTAACCGAGCCTCAAGCCGCCGGTCCACGACGCCCGGGTCCAGACCGGCCTGCCAGGCCAGGGCGTAGAGATGAGAGACACGCGCGCACGCCGGCAAGCCCACGCTACCTAGCCTCCCCAACCTAGGTACGTAGCCGGCACAGCCTCGGCCCGCCCTCTTCTCTTCCCTCGACGGCGGCCATCCCGTCTTCTCTTCCCCGCCACCATCTCATCACAACGCCCGACCTCGCACCCACACCGCATCATCAACCATCACCATGCCAGACTCGCACCCCTCGACCGACGATCCCGCACCGCACCACGCCCAGCACGATGCCCACGCCGACCAACATGGCGGCGACAGCGACGCAAAGGCAGCCCTCCTCATCCAGAAAAACTACCGCGGCTACCGCGCCAGGCGCCAGCTCGACGGACTCAACCTCTCGGCAGACTCGCGCTGGCAGGACGCCATCACCCGCCTCCGCCTACAGCAGGCTCACAACGACGCAGGCAGCGGCAAAAACGACCCCGCAACCCGCTGGAAGCGCGGCGGCCTCTTTGTCGGCCAGCTCACCGGCGCAGGCGACAAGTGCTACGACATGCGACAGGCCTCCGACGATGGCGACGACGGCGGCGACGGCGACCAGGCTGACGGCAAGACGCAGGCAGCACCGCCGGCATCCGGAAAGACGGACGGCCCCGTCGAGGGCGGTCCCACGCTCAAGGCCAGCGACCCGCAGATCGACGGCAGCACAAAGGTCGGCAACGTCCCCGGCGCAAACGACGGCGACAAGATCGACAACATCCGCTCCATTGCCAAGCCAAACCAGCCCGGACTCCGCCTCCTGGAAAAGTGGACCCGCAGCGGCGAGTACCAGGAGCTGAGCAAGGCCATGGCCTCGCAGTACTGGCTCGAAATGGTCGACCAGAAGCACCGCTACGGCTCCAACCTCAAGTACTACCACGACGCATGGAACAAGGCCGACACCGACCTCAACTTTTTCCAGTGGCTCGACCAGGGTCCGGGCAAGGACCTCGACCTCGAAGACTGCCCGCGCCAGCGCCTCGACTCGGAAAAGGTCATCTACCTCAGCGCCGAGCAGCGCAAGAACTACATTGTCGACGTCGTCGACGGCAAGCTCCACTGGCGGCGCAACGGCAAGCCCGTCGACACGGCCAAGGGCAAGCACCGCGACCTGGGCGACGGCCGAGGGATCGTCGACCTCGGACAAGACGAGCAGAGGGAGGCCGAGGAGCAGATCAAGCGCAGGGCCCTCGAGCGCGGCGTGTCCGAAGACTCGCTCGACAGCGTCATGACGGGCAGCTCGTCGAGCGACGACGAGGAAATGAGCCCCAAGGACAAGCGCAGGGAGGCGCGCCACTACCAGTCGAAGCGCTCCGGAAAGAGCCGCCACCTCGACGTCCTCTCGCCCTCCAATTGGGCCGACATGCTGCTGCGCAAGACCATCGGCAGCAACACCTGGATCTACGTCTACAACCACCGCAGGGAGCTCTACGTCGGGCTCAAGCAGACGGGCTACTTCCAGCATTCCAGCTTCCTCTGTAAGTCGTCGATCGGCTACCTTCGCCCGTCAGCCTCGCCTCACGTCGGCAGGTTGCGAGACTCACCGCCGCCTCTGTACTCTTTGTTGTCCTCCTTGCTCTCTGGTCCGGACCAACAGATGGCGGCCGAGTCCTCTCTGCAGGCCTGCTCAAGGTCGACAACGGCCAGCTGGTCTCGCTGTCGCCGCTGTCGGGCCACTACCGCGCGGGGACGGCGCACTTCCGGTACTTTGTCAAGTCGCTGCAGGACGGCGACGTCGACCTGTCGCGCGTGGTGCTGTCCAAGTCGCTGCTGATGCTCGCAGGCATGGAAAAGTACGGTGCGATGATGAGCAAGATCAAGGGGGGCGGCGGTGGCGAAGATGGCAAGGATGGCAAGGGCGGTGACAATGACGAAAAGGGCGGCGAGGCGAGCGAGACGGAGCAGGGAGAGGAAAAGCACAGTCTGGCGGAGAGGGTCAAGGCGCATCTCCACCTCGGACGCTCGGGCCGAGAGGGTGAGGAGGCATCAGCAGATCCAGCGACGGCGACGACGACGACGACGACGACGACGACGAGCAAGCGGGAAAAGATCAAGGAGCTGTTGGTGCCCGGGCACCGAAAACGAAAGGAGGAGCGGGAAGCTGCGACGGCGACGGCGACCGCGACGGCGACCGCGACCGCAACCACGGCCGAGGCGTCTGCATGATGGCCGCGGGACGCTTCTCCAGGATCCTCATTTTGATGTCGATGTCGGACCTCGACCGGCATGCACGCCTACTCGCCATCGAAACGATACCCCGCGTCACGCCCACCGCACGTCCGAGATGAGACTATGAGAGTGTGCTGTCGATTGCTAAGGGCATCTGGCGGTATCGGGCCGAATGAACGTCGACTCGAGGAGGGGTGGGGTATACAATTGCGATCTCAAAGGAGCGGGACGGTGATCGAGCCGGGTATGTATGGCGAAGGGCGGCCCGTCGTCGTGACTGTTGCCAGGCGAGAGGGGGGCAGGGGGCGAGGCTGGCTTCTAGAAGTAGGAATAAGAGGGAGGGGGCACGCCATCGACGTTTCGACCCTGCTGGATCCTCCTGGCCCACCTCTCGGGTCCTACACCACGAACGAGTCCATCCTCGTCATCGCTGCCGCGGTGGTGGTGGTGTTGGTTGAGGGGGGAGTAGGGAGGGGGTAGGGAGTCGAGGCTTCCGCCGCTGGATGCGGTAGCGATGCTGAACCGACTCGCCTCTTGTTCCCTGATCGTCTCCCCTGCCAGCGTGTACGACGAGGAGAGGTAGGACGACGAGGACGAGGACGAGAAAGAGAGGGAGGAAGGTGGTCGGTAGCCCTGACGGGGTACATCTGGCAGAGGCTTCGAGATGCGTTGCTGCCCCGGCGCGTGGACACGAGTGGAAGTCGACTTGGACTTGAAGTGAGAGTCGACCGAAGAAGCATCCGTGCCGATGCAGAAGAACGTCGAGGCCGACGATGACGACGAGGAGCGTTGGACCGTCTTGATCAGTCGGTCTGCTAGGATCGAGGGTCCGTCCCGTTTTGCCTTGCCCATCGACGACCAGGAGGACGAGGAGGGGTAGGAGGGGGAGGAGGGGTAGGAAGGTGCGAGCGGGAAAAAGTTCATCTTGCGCGTTTGGAGCGTGAGCGTATGCTCGAAGTGTTGCTCGGAGGTGAGGTGAGGGTGGACGCTGAGATGCAAGAGTGGGCGAGGTGAGGGTATCGCTGCGATGAGGAGATGGTCTGACCACCATACCCGCCTCATCGTACTCGGTGCTTTATACATCCTCCCCTCGCCCTTCTGACCCGCCGTATGGAAGACGACATTGCGAAGGGGCAGAAGGGGCGAGGATGGACGAGGGTCGGGATCGACGACGGCAGTGATGGATGAGGGTACGGATCGACGGAGGGCCGCGCGCGACGTTTGGACTAGATCTGGGATCGACGCTGCGCTGCGCTCCGGCCAGTCATTTGTCTGTCTCTCGAGACGTACGCCCGCGCTTGTTTGGCAGGGCCTGCACGCCTGCAAGAGGGTGGGACGGGAGCCGTCCTCGCGCCGGTTCACAGCGCCAGAGCAGGGGCGTGGAAGGATTAGAGCAGGGTAGGGCAGGAGGCAGGAAGTGCTGCGCCCCGAGCGTGGCAGACGAGCGAGCGAGCGAGGCAAGCAGGCAGGATCAAGGTTTTGGCAGTAAGAGTGGCCTGGACCATGACCTGAGCGAAATCGAGCAGTTATTGACTATTGCTGGCCCATCAGCTGGTGCGACGCACGCACAAACGCACGCACGCACGCCCAGTCACAGGCAGGACAGGCTACGGCAGGTCGTGCAGAGGTCCGAGCGGAGCGGGGCTGGCGTCGGGATGAAGGCTAGGCAACGAGGATCTTGACAGGTCCCCTTTGTCTTGGCTTGCCCGGCCTGGCCTGGCCTGTCACGCCCCCGTCCCGTTCCCGTCCCGTCGCTGGCCGGCCGGTGAAAGCCCGGGGCTGGGCCAAAAAATGTGCGGTCGGAGCCTGACAGGTGCTCGCAAGCAGGTGCGCGCCGCGCGTCGTGTAAGTTGCAGACGACTTTGGCCGGGTCAAAGTCGACGCCTGCCTGCTGGCCGTGCGGCGGCGTTGGTACCACCTCATCTTTTCCACCACTGCCCACCCCTCTCGTGCTTACGGCAGTATCTCCCTACCTGCACCTGCACCTGCATCTGCATCTCTATCTACGGCGGCATCTACTGCGGCCCCTTGTCGGCTACCAAGTAGACGCTACTCGATCCCCACCATACGCCCGGGAAGGGGGGCGCACGCGGTCAATCGAGGATGGTACACTCTGCCTGCGCCCATCACTCCTTTCACACCGTCGCCACCGCCGCCGCCGCCAGGATCGTCGTTTCCACCACCCTCGTACGCCGCGCCTACCCCACCAACGCCACCTCGTCTGGCACGGTCATGGATTCCGTCTTCGATAGCGTCGACGCCGACGCTGCGTCATCGTCGCGCACCAAGGATAGATCAAGGCAGTGGTTCGTCTCGAACGGCCCACCGCCGCGCCATCGCCGTTATGATGCTTCGTCGGCCACAGCTAGCAGCACCGCCACCACCGGCACCGGCACCGGCACCGGCACCGGCACCGTCGCCACCCGAATGTATCCGCCGCTCCCCATCCCGATCGCGTCCACCTCCTTATCAGAGCCTCGCTCGCCTGCTGCGTCGTCATCGTCACCGTCATCGTCCTCGCTCTACCCACCACTTGCCGGCGCCAGCACCAGCGCCAGATCGGCTCCATCGGCGTCATCACGACCGACCGCAGCGGCACCCCGCCCACCGCCAGCGCCACCGCTGACCTCGCGCCAAAAGGGCCAGTCGATCCCAAAGACGTGGTCCTCGACCGCTCCGCGCCGCTCGGCACCGCGCTCCTACAGCACCTACCGCGCCTCGTCCTCGCGCGCCAACCAGCAGCGCGAGGAGGAACGCACCCAGCTCGAGGCCCACCTCGACTTCTACTCGTACAAGCAGCCCGTCACCGCCGCTCTGTCTCCGGGCGAAGCCTTCCTTCGGCGTCGCAGCCATCCCGATCCCAATCCCGACCCCGCCTCCTCCTCCGCCGCCGCTGCTAGTGTCGCTGCACCGCCTGCACCGGCGCCCTCGACATCGCACCGGCTTCGCCCGCCCGCAGTGGCGTACACGACGGATCTGGCCGAGTCCATCGACCTTGTCCACTGCCTCGGCCCGGGCCCGCTGGCGCTCGACATGGAGTGGAACTTTTCGCACACGGGCAAGGTGTACAAGACGGCGCTGCTCCAGATCGCGTCGCCGTCGCTCGTGGTGCTGCTGCACCTCTCGTCGATCAAGGTCCTGCCGCCGCCGCTCCTCGCGCTCCTCACCGACGCCCGCCGCATCAAGACGGGCGTGGCGATCCGCAACGACGCGCTCAAGCTCCAGCGCGACTTTGGCGTCGCCTGCCGCGGCCTCGTCGAGCTCTCGCACGTCGCCCGCGCCGTCGACCCGAGCAGCTGGGAGGGGAGGAGGGGCGGCCTCATCTCGCTGCGCGACCTCACCCGCGTCTACCTCGGCCGTAAGCTGCGCAAGGACGCCGTCAGGACGTCGGACTGGACGCGCACCCCCCTCGACGCCGAGCAGAGAGAGTATGCCACCAACGACGTCGTCGTCTCCCTCGAGATCCTCCGTGCCCTCGTCGCCAGGATCGATCCCGGCGAGGGCCAGGGCGGGGCAGAGGGAGAGGGGGAGGGAGAGGGACGGCAATCGGAGCAAGAGGCGCTCGTCGAAACGCTCATGAAGATGGCCCGCGTCGACGTCGACCCCGTGCTCTCCTCGGCGAGCACCACAGACAAGGCGACAGCATCACCGACGACGACGACGACCACGAGGACACCATCGAATCGGAAAGTGCTGAAGCCCATCACGCTCAACGCCGTCTCGGTACGGGAGACGATTGTCCTCTCCTCGTCCCCCTCCTCCTCCTCCTCTTCCTCGTCTGTCTCCTCGAATTCGGAATCAATAACCCTGGACCGAATCGAACTGGCCCATCATCGGGCGATGAACCTCTTCCTCGCGCCGTTATCGCTCACGCTATCCCAGATTGCAACGACGCTCAACGTCAAGACGACGACGGTGGCCGCCTACATCTACAAGACGCTCATCGATCCCGTCTTTTGGCAGCGGCCGCAGCAGCAGCAGCAGCGAGGGCAGGGGCAGGGGCAGGGGCGGGGACGACGGTTGAGTGAGGAAGAGTGGAAGAGGTTGGACGCGGAGCTCGAGAGGGGTGGGAGGATGCTCGCTTCGACCCGATCGCGCATTCAGCGCGTCAGGGGCGGGTGGATGCCCGATTCGTGGAGTCGCAAGGCCAAACTGGGCAGGGTTGGCGACGATCAGTCCTCCTCACCACCTCCCTCGGCGGCGGCGGCGGCGATGTCGGCGATGAACAAGTCGCAGCCGCTGCCGTCTTCCTCGTCGACCTCTACCCCACCTGCACGGCCACCACCACCACCACCACCACCGACCTCGCTGCACCGCTCCGAGGCAGAGTGGGACGAAGTCGACGTCGTCGAACCGTCGCACTAGTCGTTGCTTGTCCCCTTTGCATCTCTATCTTATCCCCGCAAGCACGAGCCCGGTCTGGGCCTCATTTCATGACCCGCAGGAGGCAGGCAGGCAGCGGACGTCAATAACAACAGATACCCCCTCACTGATCAGTCGAAAATGGTACACGTGTCCTCATCATGCTCGTCGTTCGTCGTCGTGGCCGCCGGTCATGCGTCGGCCCTGCGACCACTGCCGACGACGACGGGGGACGGCACCGCGGGCTGGCCGAAGAAGCTGTGCTGGGGCGAAGTCGTCGGGCTGGCACCGGTGCGCGGCGTACGGTGGGCCCAGCCCGTCCTGGCCGTGGCGCCGATGGGGTAGCTCAGCTTGCCGCTTCGATCCCGGTAGCTGCCGGCGGCCGACGTTGCTTCCCGACGCCAGGACTGCTCTGATACGTCGGCCACGCCCTCGTAGCCGTACCCGTTGTCGAACTCGTCGTCGTCTTCGGTCGAGGGAGTCAGGTCCGGCGGCGTGTCGCCCGTCCTGCGGGAGCGGTAGATGGCCTCCCGGCCATATCTGCCGCCGTCGTGGTCGTCCTCCCCGTACCCGTCCTCGTCCGACCAGCCTCGCGACGTCTCGCGCGCTCGCGCCTTGCCCTTGCCCTTGGCTGAGGCCCTGCTCTGCGCCTTGGCCTGCATGGCACGCCACTGCCGCTCTTCTTCCGTCGAGGCGTCGCCCTCATCCACGTCCTGCCCGTCGGAGCGACCAGCAGTGTCGCTCCTCTTGAATTTTCGATCCGCCTTCTTCTTCTTCGGCTGCTGCGGCTGCTGTTGCTGCTGCTGCGGATCGACCTTGGTGCGGTCGATAAAGACGAAGGCGGTAATGTAGAGGACGAGGGCGGCGCCGACGCCCATTGTGACGCCGACGGTGCTGGCGATGCCGAGGAAGATGTAGAGCGGGTAGACTTCGCGCGCAATGGCCGAGATGACGCGCATGGGCGCCGTGTAGAAGAGGTAGACGATGCCCGAGACGAGGTAGCCGAGCGGCGCGAGCCCCACGGCGACGGGGCGCAGCGAGTGCGAGAGGCCGATGCGGAAGGCGCGGTAGAGGCGCGACGCCCCTGAGCCGAGCAGGCGGGAGAGGTAGACGAGGGGCAGAGAGAGATAGTAGAGGCCCCGCAGCGTGCCGCGCAGCAGGGCGAGGACAAAGTCGAGCAAGAGGGGCGAGGAGGATTCCTCTTCCTCGTCATGATCTTGCTGCTCGTCGTGGCCGCCGTCGTCATGGCGGTGGTCGCTGTTGAGGCGCTGCTTGGCCTTGGCTGCCGTCTTCCTGCTGGCGCCGTTGCTGATCTTCTTGGGCGCCTTTGCGCGGGGCTGCCGTGGGGACGAAGGTGCCGATTGACCCGGGTCGATCCGGTGCTGGGCAGCATGCTGTTTCCCGTCTTGATCCTGGGCCGCGGATTTCTTGCTCTTCGAGTCGCGGACGAGGTAGTCCTCGTGGGTGAACTTGAAGAGGTCGTTCGCTGGGTGGCTGTCTAGGCGCGCGTCGTCGTGCTGCGACGGGGGAAGCGGGATGAGGGATTCGACGCCGGGTGGCCTGTCGATGGCCTTGATCTGGGAAGCATGGCTGGGTGCCGTGGTGCTGCCGGCGGAGAAGAGGGACTGCGCGTTTGGCCAGAAGAAGGCGACGAGGAGTGCGGCGATGGCGACGGGCACGATGCGGTTGGTGCCGGGCTCGATGTTGGCCGCCGCTTTTCGAGATGAGGCGGGCATGGCGAGCGGTGCCAAGGTCGGACGCCGGGAGCGACTGACGGGTGGCGGTGGAGCGGCTGCGGCGCTGCCGTCTGGCGTGGCCGTGCTGGCTGGCGATGAGATGCGCAGCTTGGCGGGGAGGTGCGTTGGTCCCCTGGGGTGGATGGTCAAGCGATGGCGGCAGTGGTGGGAGGAAAGGAGAGGCTGGCCGAGATAGCAACCGACTTGGAACTCAATTTGGTGGGGTTCGAGGTTGGCCTGGAGTACGTGGGGCAGCTCCACATTTAGCCGCGCCCGCGTGAAAGAGGCTCTGTTGGCCGCCTCGTATCCCTGCCTGCCCACGTCGACCCGTCATCATGACCCTTGGACCCAAGCACTCGCTCAGCTCCTCTCCAAGACCGGGCCCGCGACCTGCTTCCACCACGCCCGCTCTTGCAGCCACACCAAGCCCCTCGAGACGAAAAAAAAAAAAAAAACCAAGCCTCGATACGCTCAGGCCCGCCAGGCACCCTCGTTTGGGCCCAACCCTGCGGCCAGGCCAGTCCCATCCCTCGTGTACCCGTTTCGCTGCCCAGGCCAGATTGCCTTCGTCTTTCGTGGCTACATCGGCGGCGTGTGGGTGTGGTCAAACGCCTCGAGACAAGGCTATGGCCAGACGCTCGTGCCAAGGCCGCCGAGGGCCTACTCCCCGCTCCTTTGCGCGACACTCTTGGCCTCACTCAAGACAACCATGGGCCGCCACACCGCGGCGTTGCCATGCGGCCGCCCCCAAAGGTTGGACAAGGCGAGGGGCACGTTGCACGACACAAGCCGGCCGTGCCGAGAGAGGCGCTCGCAGACAGGTCAAGAGGGCAAAAATACAGACAGACAGAGGGCCAGACCCGGGCAAGGAAGGGACCGCAGGGTTCGCGGCGCTCGCTTTTGTGCTGGATTGCATGGGGGGTGCGTTTGGGTGCTTGGGTGCGCTAGGAAAAGAGAGAGAGAAAGAGAGAGGGGGCGGCGCGCCATGCATAGGCAAAGAACTTGCAGTCGTATCCATCATCCGCGGGCGAGACGCTTATCGTCGGCCGGCACCGGGGACGTTGCGGCCGCGGCGCTCGGGGGCCTGGTAGGCGCTGACGGGGGCCGAAACGCTGACGGGCAGGCTGTCGAAGCCAACGGCGCGCAGCATGTCCTTGGTGTCGGGGTCCACCTCGAGGCCGCCAGTGGCCGACGTGTCGAGCGCCGAAACGTCGGGCACGTACTGGTCCTTGCGCTCGCGCTCCTCCTCCTGCAGCTTGAACGAGATGCCGCGGACGGGTCCACGCTGGATGCGCTTCATGAGGTGGGTCGTGAAGCCGGCAATCTTGTTGCGCAGGCGCTTCGACGGGATAATGGCCACCTCATCAATGACCTTCTTGTTGGTGTGGAAGTCGACCGCGTTGAGGCGCGGGTAGTACTTCTCAATCAGCACGCGAGCGGCGCGCTTGGTGGTCTTGGTGCGGACACGGCCCTACAGCGGCGACAAGGCACGGCAAGAAAGAGAAGAGCGAGCGTCGAATGTCAGCTTCTCCGAGGTCCGTGGTTTGGGATGCGATCTGCAGCTGCGGCAACGGAAGTCGTGGCAGCAGCCAGCAATGCCGCCGCATGTCCGCGCAGCCCAACAGCCAGAGAGTAGAGAGAGAGTCGAAGGGGCGTGTGTGGGTGTGTGTCGGGTGGTGGGCAGGTTGTCGACCAAGGCTCCGAAGCCGATGTCGTCGTCGATGCTGATCGCAGGTGTGGCAGATTCATGGATGCGCGACTCGACGGAGGCTGCCGCCATCGGTCTGGCTCCATCAGGCCTCTTGGCCCATGGCCTCGTCCATCCACCTGAAACCCCGACACGGCGCCTCCTTGCGCCATCCCCAACCCTACCCTCCTTCCATCTACAGGTGTGCAGCGCGACGACGGCACCTGTACCTCCTTCAACTTCGCCGCCGGCCTCCTCCTGTGCGGTGACGCCTGTCTCTGTCGTCCAGAGCACGATTCCTCCCTAGATTGATGAAACCTCCCTGAAAAGACCCCCTTGTCCGCAACCGTTATCCGGTTCCGCGTCCCGCTGCCGGTACAGCGGTAAACGTCCGCTCAGCGTCGTGGCTGGCTTGGACTCGAGGTGGATTGTTGGGTCGACATCTCGCATTTATACGAGTCAGGTTGTCGACTTCGGAAGTCGATGTCGGTCCAGGAGATGGAATGGCGGCATAGATGCGTGGCGGGCTGCGGTCGGTGCCACTGCGAAGGAGTGCTCGCCGCGATTCTGTTCCGGTCGTCGTGGCTGCTCCATTTTTCTCGATCTCTCTCTCTCTGGCTGTTGCTAACGCCATGGCTCGTCGTCCGGCGGTGGTGCTGCTGGCTGTCGTCCGTTTTGTCGTCCATGCTGTGTCGCTGTTGATGCTTACCATTTTGGATGTCTTGAGGTATAGGGGGGTGCGGGGCGGAGGAGGTGTGGTGTGCGGTAGGGGGTGCAAGGGATGGTGTTGGCGGTGACGACGACGTCCAACGGGCCCCCGCCCGGGCGCCCAGCCTGCCGTGGCCTGCCATGCCCTGCCTCGCCCTGCCCTGCCCTGCCCTGCTCTGCCGCTCCTTCGCCTTCCCGCCCGACGGCCCGTCGGTGGCCCACCGAGCTCCCCTTCTTGCGGAAGCGCAACTCTTGCCTGGCGCTCGCTGCTGCTCTCGCTGGCTCGCCCCCGTCCCTCTGCCAAAATTTCAAAATGAGGGCCTGCCTGGCTCGAGACAGAGAGCGGCGGTTTCCTAGCGAGCTGCGCAGGCTGGCCGGCCGGCCGAGACTCACGTGAGCAAAATTGCAAAACTGTCAAAGGTTGGATTCTCGCCAGTCGGCCGCACGGCCTGCTGGCTGGAAGAATTTCGGACAGGGGTCGGCTGGGCTGGGCTGGACGCTGGCTGGCCAGCCGGCCAGCTGGTTTGGCGGGCCTGGCTCGACTCTGGCGCTGGCGAGGGGAAAGGGCCCCTTGGCTGGCAACTGGCGGGGCCGGCTGAGACGGATGGGCGAGGGCGCTGGTCGCTGGCCGCTGGTCGCTGGTGCTGCCGTCGTCGTGGTCGATCCGAGACTGCTGCTCCCATCACACCTCCTCCCCTATCACCGGTCACTCGCTCGTCGCCCCTCAAGGTTAGTATCTCGCCTCTTCTCCTACACGCCCTCGCACGCCGCCAGTCACGTCGGTATCACTACGCGTGGCCCACGGACCCGACCGCCCATCGTATCCGGCCTCCCGACCTTGTCCAGCGCCTCGAAGATCGCAAAGAGCACACCGACAACAGCAGCAGCAGCAGCAGAAACGGCGCCACGGACGACCTCATAACTGCACACCGCATCGGACCTCTGCCGTCGCCCTTCACACGACCTGACGTCGGTTCTCGGTCAGGAACGGCCCGTTATACCGTCGCCCGCCACGATGTCACGACTCTCGAAACTCGAACCCACATGTCAGCTCGCCGCAGGCTGAAGGGCAATCTGGGCTATATTCGATCCTTTAATCGCGTCACATCACCTCGTCAGCCACTTGACGGCCGCCGCCGTCCAGGCACGGGTTGCACTCCCCTCGACACTGCCACTGCCGCATCCGCCCGCCGACTCTGCTCGCCCTGCGCTGCTCCTGCTCTTTCCGACATTGCGATTTCGACGCTGGACGTCTCGGATGGTCGGATCTCGATGGGCTCCGTAGGCCGCGCAACCTCAAGACGAGAAAATAGGTGGAAACGCAAGAGGGCATGGCTGAGGCAGAACAGGTGTGGCTGACAAGATCGACGGTTTGTTGTGCGCTCTCCTGTACCTGCCCAGCAGATCTCACATATAGCCCATCATGGTCCGCATTTCGGTTCTCGTGAGTATCTCTTGCATCTCGCTCTTCCCTTGGGTCGTCTCGCCGTCGCGGGACGACACCGGGACCGGCTTCGCAGAGGGCGGTGCTTGCTGACCCCGTGCTCCCCTCTCTTGGTCACTGGCGCTGTCTTTCCCCCCAACAGAACGACGCTCTTAACAGCATTGTCAACGCTGAGCGCAAGGGCAAGCGCCAGGTTCTTGTCCGACCCTCGTCCAAGGTCGTTGTCAAGTTCCTGTCCGTCATGCAGAAGCACGGTGAGTGTCGCGGATTTGCTCGGTTCTCAGCCCCCCTCTCCTACCCGATGTGACGGGTGTGACTGGGTGTTCTCCCTCCTTGTCGCCATGCCACCCCACTCGATGACTCAAAAGGCGGATGAGAGGTCAGTCGTTGGACGGCTCAGCCTGCCCGCCGTCTGCCCTCTCTCCGCCCTCGGAGTTATAACTAATGGGCTATCGGCTTGGAGTGCCTTGCGCGTTCCAGTCCACCGACGTTCATCTTTAAGGCTCCGAGAAAGCAAAGCCGGCGACGCGCTGCCGGGCCGCACGGAGGTAGTCAGCCACCCATGCCCCTTGCCGTTCGCGGTGGGGTGCGGGTCGGACCGCCTCGGTGCACACGGTCTGCGGTCCCCACATCTCTCTCGCGTCGGCCTGTTCATCTTGTTCCGGTTCGGTGATGGCCCTGTCGGGATACCGGGGACAGCACCGCTGACCCTCGTCGTTGCACTTTGCGTCCGTCGTCCGCCCTGGCTGCTTGTAGGCTACATTGGCGAGTTCGAGATTGTCGACGACCACCGTGCCGGCAAGGTCGTCATCCAGCTCAACGGCCGCATCAACAAGTGCGGTGTCATCTCGCCCCGCTACAACGTTCCGCTGAGCAAGATTGAGAACTGGGTCGGCCAGCTGCTGCCCGCTCGTTCGTTCGGCTACGTTGTCCTCACCACCTCGGCCGGCATCATGGACCACGAGGAGGCCCGAAGGAAGCACGCCGCCGGCAAGATCCTCGGCTTCTTCTACTAAGCAGCGGATCGCGCGGCTGCCCCGACACTCTCTCTCTGCGTCGTTCGCTCCCTCTGTATGCCAAGGGTTGTCATCCAGGCCTGTCCCCCATGACCGCATCCGCCCTCTCATGTCGCATCGTCCTATTCCCTTCCGGCTCTTTGGACAAGAGCGGGCTGCACACCACCCAAAATTTGAGCTTTCGGCGACGAGGTCGCCCTTGCCCTCCTCTTTTCTTCTGACTGGCAGGGGAGCGCGCCCTCTTTCCGCCTTAGCATGTAACACTATCGCTTTGCCTGTCTGACCTCGCGGGATGGCTGGCTGGCTGGCTGGCCGTGCGGGTGCGGGTGTGATGTCGTCGTGGGTTGCAGAATCCATTGTTGTCGTCGCCGTCGTCGCGCAGCTCGGCGTCGTTGGCATTCCGACGTCGAGTGCAGCAGGGCGGGCGAGAGGCAAGGCTAGGGCCCCGAGTCGGCCGCCGTCGGAGGAAAGGCGCCGGGCTGCAGCGTGCCGAGCAGCGGCCAGCCAGGGCCCCCGTGGCCGCCTCTCGGGTGCTGGAAGACGGCCCGGCGGCGCCGGCGCTTGCTGCCATGTTGGACGGCTCGCCTTGGGGACTCGCTCGCCCGCCTGCCCAAGCCCTCCCTCGAGAAGAAAGGCGGGTCGAGGCTGTGCCTGGCCGGGCTGGCTCGAGCGTCGCCTGCCCTCCCACCTCGCTCGACGCTCCATCTTGCTCTCCCTTCACCCCGTCTGCCCTCCTCATCACTTGCCCCATCGTCTTGGCCCGATACCGTCTAGCGTGAGCCTTGAGAGCGATAGCGACCATGGAGGCAAAATACATCGCGTGGCGCAACGCCTACATCCGCAGCAGCCCAGAGGTGAGCCCGCCCAGCCCAGCCGACCGCCTGCCCATCTGCTCCACCGCCCCGTCCTTCCGCTTGTCCAGGTCAAGGCCACGGCCACGGCCACGATCGCGACCTCTTGCGGCACCTACTGACTCCTACGTCCCCTCTTTCAACTGCGACCGACTGCGATGCCAAAACGGCCCCCAAAGGGTCTCTACTGCTTCTACAACGCCAGCGTACGTTTTGCTCCCCGTCGCCGCCTCGGATATTCACGAGAGCTGAGGTTCTCCAGGCTGACGTATCGACTTCTCGACGCCGGCGTCGTTGCAGGGGGACAACGGCGATGCAGTGACCTGTTCAGAGGCGCACGGTGAGCCTCGCCCTGTCTCTCCACCGTAGCGTGACCTCTGACACCTCGCCTTGGCGCTGACGAGCTCGCTTCCGCCGAACGCCGACGCGACGACAGGCTATGCCATGCTCATCTCGATCCTGCACCGCAAGTGAGTTGTTGCCGGCTTCCTGGCCTCGCTCGGATCCAGCAACACGGCTCACACTGACAGGGCGCCCCGGAGATCCCGCTCCCGACCGCGCCCCCCCTTCGACGCGGCAGCCTGCAGGACTTTGACGCTCTGCTGCGTTTCTTCCTGCACTTTCGCAACGAAAAGGGCCTCATGAAGTGGCAGGTGCGGCAGAAGAAGCACCACGCCCTCTACGTCGCCGAAGACGGCCAGACCAGCGCCACGGATGGCGGTACGTCTACGCTCTCCTCGCCGCGCCTTTGTGCTTCACGCGGCCCCTTCGCCCTGTGTCTGACGCTTTCCATCTCGTTCGAACCCGCACTGAACGACGCGACGCAGACATCGACATCGCGGCGGCTCTGATCCTGGCATCGCGCCTCTTTCCGCAGGGCTCGCCCGCCTACCCCGCTGGAGCATACCGGCACGAGGCCCAGGCTCTGCTCTCGGCGATCTACCGCTACGAGATTCACCCGGACCTGCGCACACCCCTGCTGGGAGACTGGTGCAATTCGGACGGCGACGACAATGTCCGGCTCTACAACGCCACGCGCTCCTCGGACTTTATCCTGAGCGCCTTCCACCTCTTTGAGCAGTTCGTCGATGGTGAGTCGTTGCCCGCCTCGTCGGCTTCTGGTCTCGCTCTCGAGCCAACACGGTCGCCTTTTTCTGAAGAACCACGGCTGCGCCATTGAACGCCTGGCCATTTCCAGACGCGGGGCAGAAGCAGGCGTGGCGCAGCGTCGTCGATGCCGTCGTCGGCGCGACGGTCAGCGTCTCCTCGCAGTCCGAGACGGGCCTTGTCCCGGACTTCCTCGAGTACAATGCCCAGGAGCGCACGTGGAAGCCGGCGTGGGGCAAGCTGCTCGAGGGCGAATACGACGGCCACGTCTCGTGGAACGCCTGCCGGACGCGTGAGTCTCTTTCCCCTTGCGCTCGCGCTCCCCCTGTCCAGCTCATCCTCCTCGTCGTATCTCTGGATGACTGACCCTCGCACGATCGATGTCGGGCCCGATGTACGCAGCGTGGAGGCTGGCGCACTACTACGCCGTCACCCAGGATGCGCGGCTGCGACCGGTGCTCGACAAGATGTACAAGTCGCTCGTCTCGCCCGACCACCGCGAGTGCGACTTCCCCCAGACTCCCGCCGGCATCGACATCTGGAGCGGCAAACCCCTCGTCGACTACAGCGGTACGTTGGCCTCCCCTCTGTCCCTCGTTTTACTTGGTCGCTGCGGCTTAAGCTGACGATGACGGTCGATCAATCGATGGATGACGACGGCGGCGGCGTACGCGCGCCCGCGCAGACAAGGCCTTTATCGCACCGACGTCGTACCTCTGCTACGTCCTTGGCGACTCGGCCTCGCACAAGCAGGGCGTCGACGCCCTCGCCGCGGCAAAGGACAGCTACTTTGGCGATTCCATCGACGTCCTCATCGCCGAGCAGGCTGTCAATGCCGAGCTGTTCCGGTAGAAGGGGCGACAGAGACGCGCCTGCCGGACCGGAGCCAGCGCCCACCCCCGCTGGGCACCTCTCATTCACTTCGTCTCTCTTTCTCTCTCTCTCTCTCTCCCGCGATCAAGCTGTGCTGTCTGAGGGCGGGGCCGTGGCCCGTGGCCCGAGCTTTCTTCGTTTCTCGCGTCGCCGTCTCTTCTCTCGCAACCATCCCATCGTGTACAAGTGTCCCGTGGGCCCATCGCCGCCGCGCCACTACTTCTTGCCCTTGGCGGCGCTCTTGGGGAGCTCGCGGGTGAAAGGGAGGAAGTCGCGGCCCTGCATGTAGGGCTGGAGGGGCGGGGGGATCCGGAGGCCCTCGGGCGTCTGCCAGTTTTCGACGAGGCAGCAGAGGGCTCGCTCGGTGGCGCAGAGGGTGCCGTTGAGCATGTGGACAAAGGTCTGCTTCGAGTCGCCGGGCTTCTTGAAGCCGCAGCGCACGTCGAGGCGGCGCGACTGGTAGTCTGTGCAGTTGGAGCACGAGACGAGCTCCTTGAACTCGCCCTGGAAGGGGAACCACGCCTCGAGGTCGTACTTCATGGCGGCGGCGTTGTTGAGCGCGCCCGAGACGATGGCGACGACCTGGTAGGCGAGGCCGAGCGACTGGTAGAACTCCTCCGAGTTGGCCAGCATGGCCTCGAGCATGTCCCACGACGAGGCCGGGTCGGTGATGCAGAACTGCTCGACCTTTTCAAACTGGTGGACACGGAAGATGCCCCAGGTGTCCTTGCCGTGCGAGCCGGCCTCCTTGCGGAAGCAGGTCGAGTAGCCGGCGTAGCGGATGGGCAGCTGCTTGGCGGGCTCGGTGAAGACCTCGTCCGAGTGGTACGCCGAGATGGGCTGCTCGGACGTGGCAATGAGGTACTTGTCGTCCTCGTCGCCCGTGACGTGGTAGAGTTCCTCGTCAAACTGGTCGAGCTGCGCCGTCTTGCTCATGGCGTCCTTGCGCATCATAAAGGGCGTCATGATCTTTTTGTAGCTCTTCTTGCGGAGGAAGTCGAGGCCGTAGTTGATGAGGGCCTGGTTGAGGTCGACGCCGTCGCCGGTGAGGAAGAAGCCGCGGTGGCCGGCAATCTTTGTGCCGCGCTCGGTGTCAAAGAGCTCGAGGCGGTACATGACCTCGTGGTGGGAGAGGATGTCGGTCTTTTTCTCGACCTTTGCGTTGGGGCCGTCCGGGTGCCAGGTGCGGATGACGGCGTTGTCATCCTCGGTCTGGGAGATGGGGACGCGGTCGCCGACGATGTTGCCAATGGTCGAGGCCTTGTGCCTCATGTCGGCCTCTGCCTGGGCGACGGTGGGCTTGAGCTCTGCGACCTTTGCGTCGAGCTCCTTTTTCCTGGCCATCTCCTCGTCGGCATTCTCCTTTGCCTTTCGCTTCTTTGTGATCTCGGCCTGGGTGGTGTTGACCTCTCTTCGGACGGCGTCAATCTCCTTTTGGAGCGAGACCCAGTGCTTGTACATGTCGAGGACCTGGTCGACGAGCTCCTCGGGCGCTCCTCGCTTGCGCTGCGAGTCCTTGACCACCTGCGGGTCGCCGCCCTTGTCGGGCTGGAGCACTGCGAAAGGGGAGCGAGGGGCAGCGGGGCGGGGCAGCGGTCAGAAGTGGTGGCCTGGTGGTCGACCCGCTGCTGCTCTGCGTAGACCGCAGAGCCGGCACTCACTGAGGAGGTCGATCATATTGCAAGCGAAAGGGGGTGGGGCGAGACGGAGGGTGGCTGTATAGGGAGGCGGCGGAGGTGATGGTGGTACGGCGCCAGTGTGAGGATCACGAAGATTAGCTGCCAGCGAAAGTGTGACTTTCCGCAAGGCGTGGGCTCGGGGCCCTAGGCTGCTGCTTGCTTCGGACTCGGGCGTGCGTGGTTGGTTGGTTTGGGCGTTGCTTCCAAGCTCGGGCCCGCCTGGCCTGGCTGCCTGCCCTCGCGAAGAAATTTGGCCCGATTTTCCTCGTGCTTTTTCGCCTCGCACGCGGTGGGCCCCCGCGTCGTCCGTCGCCTTTCTCGATCGCCGCACTAACCAGCTACCGCCTTGCTTGCCACCACCACCACCACCATCATCGACCCTCACCTACCACCCTCTGCCATGTCTGCCGTCATCGACCTCCCCTTCGAGCTTGCCGCGGCCCCGTCCGGCTTCAAGCCCGGCCAGCCGTCGAAGCTCTCGGCCCCCGGCAACCAGGTCCTCTTCCCCGTCGGCCCCGCCTTTGTCGGCTACAAGCGCCGCGAGCTCAAGCAGATCGACTTTGCCACCGACGACCAGCACGAGGCCGACAGGCTCGCCGCCGAGGCCGCCAACGCCTCCAACGGCGACGATGCCGAGGTAGACGTCGGCGACGAGCCCGAGTCCCAGGACCTCCTCGAGCGCGACCCCAAGGAGTGGAAGTCGCAGGACCACTACGCCGTCCTCGGCCTGTCCAACCTGCGCTGGAAGGCCACCCAGGACCACATCAAGGTCGCCCACCGCAAAAAGGTCCTCAAGCACCACCCCGACAAGAAGGCCGGCTCCTCGGGCCTCGCAAACGACGACTCGTTCTTCAAGTGCATCGCAAAGGCCCACGAGATCCTCTCCAACCCCGAAAAGCGCCGCCAGTTTGACTCGGTCGACGAGTCCATCGACGACGACGACGTCCCCTCGGGCAAGGAGGACCCCAAGAAGTTCTACGCCCTCTGGGCCCCCGTCTTTGAGCGCGAGGCCCGCTTCTCGGAGCCCAAGAACGGGCCCGTCCCCAGCCTCGGCGACGAAAAGTCGAGCCGCGACGAGGTCAACGCCTTTTACGACTTCTGGTACAACTTCGACAGCTGGAGGTCGTTCGAGTACCTTGACAAGGAGATCAACGAGGGCAGCGACAACCGCGACGACAAGCGCTACACGGAAAAGAAGAACCGCAACGAGCGCGCGCGCAGGAAGAAGGAGGACAACGCCCGCCTGCGCAGCCTGGTCGACAAGGCGCTCTCGGTCGACCCGCGCATCAAGCAGTTCAAGGCCGACGACAAGGCCGCCCGCGAGGCCAAGCGCAACAAGGGCAAGCCCGCCGCCGCCACCGACCCCAAGGCCGCCGAGGCCGAGCGCAAGGCCAAGGAGGAGGCCGAGCGCAAGGCAAAGGAAGAGGCCGACAAGCAGGCCGAGGCCGACAAGGCGGCAAAGGCCGACGCCAAGAAGCAAAAGGAGGCCGCCAAGAAGAACCTCAAAAAGACCAAGAAGGCGCTGCGCGACCTCGTCACGTCCAACAACTACTTCCTCGCCCCCGGCGCCGCCGTCGACGCCGGCGTCATCGAGGCGCAGCTCAACGAGCTCGACCTCATCTGCTCCAAGCTCGAGCCCGAGGTCGTCGCCGAGGTCAAGCAGAAGGCCGAAAAGGCCGGCGGCGCCGACGCCATCAAGGCCGAGTTCAAGGCTGCCGGCGAAAAGGCCGGCGCCTCGCCCTCGGCCTTTGCCTGAGCAGGAGGGCGAGCGCGCGGGAGGCCGTAGCCAAAACCTGTTACCCCCCTTCTTCCTCCCTTCTCGAGACGTTTCGTGTAGCCTTGTCGGATGTGCTCTGTAGAGGTAGAAGCGCGAATCACGACCGCTGCCATGGCGCATCGCATTCGAACGGGCCGACCTGCCATCGTGTCTGTGCTCTCCGCCGGCGCCGGCGCCCGTACGCCGAAGAGCCGAGGTGTCGTCGCCGTTGGAGGTAGAGCTCCTCCGGCTCATCGAGTTGATCTGTCCAAACGACTGATCCAGCGGGCAGGCAGATCGAGCAGGGACGGGGCGGGGGCATGCGTGGGCGATTGTATATCGTAGAGGGGGGCTTATATGTGATCGTTGGAAGGGGGAGAACCGATACGAAGGAGGGGCGAGGCGAGGCGAGGCGAGGCGATGCGGGGTGTGAAGAGTAAAAAGTACAGGTGGTGGTGGTGGTTCGCCTCGTTTGGCCCGATCAGCTCAAACGTCCGCAACGAGGCGGGCAGCGACGGGACGAGCTTGCACAGCCTTGATCGCGACAGATGGCATGGATCGGTTCCTCTTCCTCTCGGTGGATGAGCGGATCGGGATGTGTGTGTTTTTAGATTGAAGTGGCTCGTCGTCATAGATCGAGATCGAGAGCGAGGGCGCGGCGCCACCACCAACGAGCGATATAGGCACCCCCGCACGACGACATGCAGCTCCCTCCCAGGCAAGGGATAGAGAGGCTGCCGTCGCTGCGGCCACTTCCTCCCTCCTCTCTCTCGTAGTCCGAGGGAGGCGGCATTCCCGTGACCATGCCGCCGCGACCTCGGACCTGCACCTCCAGCTCCGGCTCCGACTGGCGCTAACCTCGACGCGTTCGTCTCTTCTCCATTTAGAAGACGAGGGCAGCGTTCTTCTGCTTCTTGTCACCGCCGAGCTCGAAGTGCTTGCAGCGCTTCAGGGCCATGTGGGATCGGTACTTGCAGGCAACGCACTCGAGGCGGAGGACGACCTTCTTGGTCGCTGCGGGCGGTGACGAGGGTGGTGGCAGTAGACGACGAGATGCGAGGTCAGCTATGAGCATCAATGCGAGCCGAGCGCCTCTCGCAGGCGCAGCCGTGACACTTACTCTTGGCCTTCTTGTGGAAGACGGGCTTGGTCTGACCACCGTAACCGCTCTGCTTCCGGTCGTAACGGCGCTTGCCCTGGGCGTAGAGCGAAGCCTTGCCCGTCTTGTACTGGGTGATCTTGTGCTGGCTGCGAAGGTCAGGGAAGATGACGGAGGGAGATAGGCGGCCTCGTCAGTACACTCGGACTGACACGAGTGCAGCGCTCGGGTTCGCGGCCCCGTCGAAGCGAGTCCTCCAAACGAGATCCGGTCCATCATGATCCCTCATATAGGACCGCCGGATCGCCACGGTGTTCCAGCCGCCGGGCCAGTCGGCGGCGATGAGAAGGCCAATGCCACAGAGTCTACCAGACTCCGTTGATGCCCTCGTTGGGCGGCCTTTCCATGCTCCCGCCACAGTCCACCATATCCGCCGTTTCAACCCGATCCCCCGGATCTAGAGCTCCGCCATTCCTGCCTTCGGCCTTCCATCTTCCGTGTGTCCGGCTACGTGTGCGGCGCCGTCTGAGCGTCAATAGGACACTTACGTGTGCTTCTTGCAGGGCTTGCCCTTGCAGTAGGTCCTCCTGGTCTTGGGAACGTTGACCATTTTTCTGTTGGTTTGGTGGATTGTGCGAGAGCGGGAAAGAAAGAGAAGCGATGGGGCGAGTTGAGATGGCTTGTCCGTGGTAGTGCAAAACGGAATGACTAGAGTGCACGGCAGGCGAAGGTCGGGGTGGCTGAAAAGGTCGGGCCTTGGAACGACGGGCGAATCGGCGGGCGGACAGTCGGACAGTCGGACGGTCGGTCGAGTCGAGTCGAGTTTTCCGGCTGACAAGATCAGGCTAACTGTCGTCGCCGGAGCAGAGCTTCACCAGGCAGAGATGCTGCTTTCTTCGACTGTCGTGAAGTCGTAGTGGGCCAGGGTGTCGGGGTGGCTGGCTGTGGATTCCCAGTCGTTGGTTCTTCGCCTGGCCTCGTATTCGGGCCAGCAGAGGGGCGGCACAGCGGGTCGGCGATGACGGCGGCGATGGTGTGACGATGTCGAAGATGGCGGCTGGTGCTGACGATCAGACGGCCGGCGGATACTCACGCTGATGTGTTGTCGAGACTTGCGGGGGTAGGGTGAAGGTAGCGAAGAGGCTGGCCGG